GGAAACACAGCTCTAAAAGCACCTGTTCGGGGCACCTGGGTGGTTCAGTCGTTAAGCGTCTGCCTTCGGCTCAGGTCATGATCCCAGGGTCCTGGGATCGAGCCCCGCACCGGGCTCCCTGCTCGGCGGGAAGCCTGCTTCTCCTTCTCCCACTCCCCCTGCTTGTGTTCCCTCTCTCACTGTGTCTCTCTCTGTCAAATAAATAAAATCTAAAAAAAATAAAAATTAAAAAAAAATTAAAGCACCTGTTCAATTTCAAATACACATGGCTTACATCCTCGTGCCTAAATGCGCTTAAAAGTAGGCCAGTCCTCAGCTCATAAAGCAGCCATTAGAACCCATCACTGGGGTACTAGACTTCAATCCAAAATAGTCTTAAAGAAATCATGAGAAAGGATGTTTCAGACCAAACTAAAATGATTTAAGAATAGGGCTTCCAGTCCCAGCTTTTGTTACCAAAATCTATTCTGATATATGGAACCCAGTAAGTCAAAATACAGGAAAAAGAACAGCATTCATATAATCCCCTTTCCTGTTATAGAAAGACAGATGGATTATATATACACATCAGGGATGATTTCTGACTTTCCTTCATGTATTGGACAGGTATTGGACATGAAGGACATCTATACTCTGTCAGATGCTGACATGAGAAATAAGACAGCAACTGGCCTTCACAAATTCACAGTTAAATAATTTAACAAGCTATATAAGAAAACCTGTACTCCTAGAGTGGAGTATCTCTATGGATATAAAAATCAAGATAACCTTTAGAAAAGCCAAAATGAGAGTCATACAATCCAAATGCTAATGCGCAAGCCATTTACTAATTAGCAAGTCATTTAAAAGCTCACTGATACACTTGATTTTATTTTATACACGTTAACAACAGATTTGCTTATCTAAGTACATACCCTAGATGAAGCTTTTACTAGCTTAATGCCCTTAGGCAAGTTACTTCACTTGTCTGGACCTTGCTTAGCTCATTGGGAAAAGGGAGATAAATAGCTATACTTCAAGACGGTTCTAAGGATTACAGATAATTATGGAATGCACCACACAGTGTCTGGCATTTAGTAGAAATGTAATAAATATAACTTGACATCATAATTATAGGATTTGCCAACCGATAACAAATTGATCAGAAAAATCAAATCAGAAGTATGAGGGGTGGCGACGAGAGAAAGCTCTGTGAATGAATAGCTGATGGGAAGGAAAGAGTCAGGAAACAAAGATGCAAAAACTCAGAAAGGACAGACAGGAGCCAGCAGCCTCCACACTTGATGAGCTGTTGAGGGCATCCCCAATGTTTTCACAGCATGTAGAAATGACATGCCTGAAGATGACATTAAGCCACTTAAAACAGATTAAACTTTGATTCCATGTGTTTAAAAAAGGACAGATCAGCACATAATTGATTTTGGAAAGATTCCTATCAAAAGTGATTTGACATCACAAATTTAACATTTTATATGTCCAAACTTTAACGAACTGCAAAAATCTATTAACAAGCTTCTACTAGACTCAATGTACAAAGGAACCTCTCAAATTTCAGAAGCCATTTTTTTCTACTCAACACTGAAACAGATGTATGTCAAACAAATTAACTGTGGGAATATTTCAGTGCAATGCCCTAAAACATCATCAGTTTTTAACAGCTAAAACAAAATAAAGTTTTGGTCTCTGTCATCACTAAATGTTTTTATATCTACCAAACAAATACAAACACATGCCACGAAGATCTCTTTCCACTTGAATTTTCTCCCTACATTTGAAAGGCGGTAAAAAAACGAAAAACATCTGTTCCTTTCCTCAGAGCTGACAACCCTCATTCTATGGTTTAAAAATAAAAGATGTTTATGGAGGCTTATAGATATAATGATCACCTGCTTCAAAGGCAGCGGGCAATTAATGGATCCAAAGACATGCAAAATTAAGGCCAAAAAAAACCAATTTCCCTAAGGAGAATGCCACTGTTCCTCAGGCCTCTGGTAATACCCAAGACACCATAAAACTGTAGAGGATGGTAAAGAACCAAATGTGATACCAGATGACAAGAAAACAGTTGGCAATGGAGAAACAGGGGCATGTGTCCTTCTGGATTCACTATACCACCACAAAAACAGTTTCCCTGAGAGCTGCCCAGAGAGAATCTGCTTCAGTCTGACCAACAATCACTCTTCTTCCAGCCCAAGGAAGGCCAGATGTTCAACCATTAAAGGGATTGACCTTATTAAAAACAGAACCTGAAAAATCTCATAAGTGAAGACTTCAAATTCTGTATTTTTCATAAACCGTTTTTACTCTGTGTTGTCTTACATTACCAAACATTCAAAAATGAGTACTAAGCAAAAACATTCACACTTAAATCAGTAGACTCAGCTTCTATTTCTGGCTCTGCCTCTGAATGAGTCACAGTGTGACCTTGAAAAAGTCACTTCATCTCTTTACCTACCTCCATTTCCCCTTAACAAGATTAGGTTAAACCTATCGATTTGTTTTAAAGAGAGTGAGTGGGTGAGATAAATATATGGAAATGGCTACACAAATATCCACTGATCACTGACCAGCTGCATCCAAACATCAAAGACAAAGTCGGTGATGTCCATATTAAAACAACTCACACTGCACTTTTGCCCTGCAGGGTAAAAAATTCTCCCTGGAGCAGCCAACAGAAAACAGGTGCTTACTGAACAGGACTCCTTTAAGAGTCTGAAATTTCAAATTTGGAAATACTTAGCAAATTAAAATACAATGCAAGTAACAAGAATAAGCTTTTTTTCCCCCTCCTCTTAAGGAAAATAAATCTTCAACCTGTTTAGGGCCTATGATCTTCAGGACTCTGATCAATCTTCTGTCTCAAATAAATAAAAAAAAAAAATAGGGGCGCCTGGGTGGCTCAGTTGGTTAAGGACTCTGATCAATCTTCCTATGAAGTCTTTTTCCCTGACTCCTGCCAAGGAGATCAGTCCCTTTACCCTTGATACTCCCAGAGGACTGCACTACACCTCTCCATTGCCCCTGAGTACTCAGGGAGCCCTGGAGAGGCAGAACCATGATTTAATGACCTTTGTAGGTCCTGCCACTAACATATTGCCTGGTATAATGTGGGTACCCAGAATATACACATATACATCTGTAAAATTTAAGAAATGAATGTATATCCAAAGTCTAATGCTATTAGAAAGAGCAACCATTAATATTAATAAATGATAATGTGAATCATGGTGATATTTTCATTTAAAAATATATATTTACAGGGGCGCCCGGGTGGCTCGGTGGGTTGAATGTCTGACTCTTGGTTTCGATCAGATCATGATCTCAGGGTCCTGGGATCTAGCCCCAAGTCTGGGCTCTGTGCTCAGTGGGGAATCTGCTTGAGGTTCTCTCCCCCACCCCTCCCCCTTCCCCTGTGCATGCACTCGCTCTCAAATAAATCTTTTTTAAAAAATACATATATACACATATATATTTATAAATGAATGATTACCTAGGTAAAGAGGAAACATGATTTCTCACCAACACTAAATTCACAAAACTAACTCAAGAACTTTCCTGTCTTCTTCCTTCAAAAATGGTCTTTCAGGGATTTTTTTTTCTTTACAATTTATCTGAAGGGTTTTAGACTATAAGCATTACTTTTAATTTAACCTACACAATAAAGGGAAGGGAGGAGAAGTTAAAAAAGAGAGCGAGAGAGGGAAAGGGAGCAAGCAATAAATAAATGAACAAAGTGAATAAAAAAGGCTACTCTTAAGGATCTAGAAATGTAAAATAAAAGGTAATCCATAAGTGAAAATAAAAATGTAGTAATACACGTAACTACCACAACATTAATGGCATTTAGCCAAAGTCACTATGCCCATTGAGAAATGTCACTTAAGAAATGTTTTATCGATAACCCATTTATTAAAGTAATAGAACAGAGGATGTTAAGCTTTCCAAATTACATTTGAAATTTTTAATCATTCAATTATTTATCACAAACCTACCAGTAATTGCATAAATTTTCATTCTTTCCTACTCCTTAAATTCTTTCAGTCAATATTTCCTTTAATAATTAAGAGTAGAAGTAAGAGAACATGAAACAAACTGTCACTCTACCAGTGGGTACTTCAAGTAAGGCCTTGGGACCTAGAAGCCTATAAGAAAGGATAAACTCATTATACTACTTGCTTTTTAATCACAGTAAGTGGACCCCCTAGCTGGGCTTTTATGGTGCCCATCAGAATCTATTACAAAGGCTAAAGAGAGGTACCAGTTGGATTACATGTCCTTTTGGTTTCTCACCTTCACTATCTCCAAGCTATACCCTGTTTTGATTGGACATAAAACCAAATGAAAATTATCTCTAATATTCTATTTCATTATTTATTAACTTTCTAATACCATGTATCAGATTTGGTTGCATCAGCAAACAGGAATGTTCCCTTAACTTCTATGAGTAGTCTACCCAGATTGCTGCAAAACAGAAACTACATATTACATACATACATACACACACACATACTAGAGCAGTCAGAGATCGCCTCTGGATAGTACTGGAATAAATTATTTGTTTCTCCAACATTGACCCTTGTCAAAGAATCATTAACAATTTTGTTCTTTTTAATGCTGTGGGGATAAGGACAGAAAGAGAATGATGGCTCAGCTAACTATGCCAAAAAAAAAAAAAAGAGTTGATCTGCCTGGCGGGACCCTGGACATAGAGAACAGCACGTTTTGGAGAAATGGACAGAGGAGCCCTTTCTTGAGATGACTTAGGAGAGACCCAACAAAGTTGTTCTCTCTGCATATAAAGAAAGAAAAAAGGAAAGGAAAGGAAAAAGAAAAGAAAAGAGAAGAAACAAATTTTACTGAACTGGTGTGCAGGACCTGAAAAGGACTCCCCTCAGAAGGCAGGACATGCCCTAAGCAGGTCTAGGCGTCTCAGAGCAAGGAGAGCAGGTGAGGGCGGAAGGCCCTGATTGGCAGGCAACCCGGCGGCAGGGGGCACTCACCTGTGAACACGTTCTGGAAACAATCAGCAGCCGCCTGTGCCCCAGACACCTTGGCTGCCTGCGCTGGTGGCGCCCCGCCGCTCCCCTCCGAGGCCGCCCCGCGTTCCAGCAGGTGCGCAGAGCCCCCGGCCGGGGGCGCGCGGCTGCCCAGCTCCTCAGTCCAGTCGGCTGAGCGGCTGAGGCCGCAAGCGAGGCCGCTCTCAGCCCGGTGCTTCTTGGCTGGAGCGGCGGCCGAGACTAGGGCAGCCCTGGGCTCCCGGCTCAGGGAGGGCTCTAGCCGCCTCTTGATCCTGGGGCTCTGGCTGGGGGACTGAGAGGGAGAGTGATTAGGCGAGCTGAGCTGCCGGGTGGTGGTCTTGATGTAGCAGGGAGTGATGAGCGGGTAGGGCTTGAAGCAGCGCGGGCTGGGCGCAGGGCTGCTGGGCAGGGAGGCAGCTGCCGGGGCGCCGGGCCTGCTGGGCTCCCCCTCGGGCTCTGCCCCCAGCCTCGGGGGAATCTCTCCCACCCCCGGGCCCCACGTCTCCCCTGGAGAGTCTCGGGGGGCATCCTCAAATGCATCTTCCTCGCCCTCCTCGTCAGTGTCCCCAGCCCCTGGGCCGGCGGCTCTGGCCGAGCCCTCTCCCGGCGGGGCCTCGGGGAACGGGAAGGCGGGGGAGGAGGGCGAGGCTGCGGCTGCGGGCTGGCCCTCAGGCAGGCCAGGCATCGCCAAGGCTCCAGGGCTGCTGGGGGGCGGTGGCTGCTCAGGCACCTGGGGCTCCGCGGCCAGGCTGCCAGGCAGGTCAGACAGCGCAGACAGAGCCCGCTCCGGGTCAGGACTGCAAGGGGCCTCTCGGGCCGTGCTGCTGGACCCCAGCAAGTACTGGTCCAGGCCCAAGAAGGCCCCGGGCTGGGGGGAGGCGGCTGCGGAGGGCGCTGCAGGCTCCTCGGAGCCCCGCTGCTGCTGCCGCTGCTGCTGCTGGCGGATCGCCTGCTGAATGTCTGAAAGCAAATCCTCTTGCTCCGTGGCCGAGTGGAAGCTATAGATGTCCGTGTCCGAGCCTGAACTGGTCCTTTGTCCATCCTGCATCCCCACGGCTGTTTCCAAATCCTCCAAGACCACCCTGCCCCCAACCCCTGCATCAGTGGGTCCATGGCCACTTGGACGGGCTACCTCGAATGGGTCAGCACACTCGGTATCCGACAGGCCCGTCTCGTCTGCCGAGAGGCTGAGGTCTGGAGTCTTGGTGACCAGAGAATGCGCGCTGTCCAGCTCCCCGGTCTGCAGGGCCTGGGAGTCCAGCACATCCTCGCGGGAGCCGCCGGTGCTTTTCCCCTTGGACAGGTTCTTCCTGATCCGCAGGTTGGAAAACACTGAGGCTCTAGATTCCGACTTGCTCTTCTTCTTGCCTGGCTCCCCCCCGCCGCCACCCCCTCCCCCCTTGCCGTGCTTCCCCAGCGCCTTCTTGCCCCCGCTCCCCTTCTTTGTGGCTTCCACATCTCTGGGCCCAACAGCATCCTCTGCGCTGCTTCCGCCTTCGTGCAGGGCATCACCTGCGCTCCTCTTCAGCTTCCCATCCTGGTTCCCCATGTTGCAATCCCGCCGCTGAGCCGAGGCGCCTCCAACACTCAGGCCATGCCGGCCCTCCTTGGCCCCCAGCCCGCACAGGGGGAGGCACGGGGGCCAGTCAAGCGGCCCGGCAAGCCTCTGGGCGAGGAGGCCAACGCGCGTGGGGCTGGCCCTGCTCGCATCTGCCGGTTCTTTGCACAATGCGTGCCTGCTCCCGCGGCTGCCGTGCCAGTGCCTGCAGCTCAGAGCAAGCGGGGCTCGAACATGCTCAGTGCAGCACCCAGAGCCAGCCAATGGCAGCGCAGAACGCAGTCCGGGCCTGGCCCCCCAATGGCCGCCGCCGACCCCTCCGCCCTCGCTTGGCCCCTCACCGAAGCGGGGCGCGAAAAATGTTTGCTCAATCTCGGGGACTTTCATCTCCACCGTGTGAATCGAATGCATTGTCCCCGTGGAAAAAGTTCAGCTGTTTCCTCAGCTGGAAGATACACAAGGAACTTCAAAGCTCCAGACCTGCGATGAAAAAAGTTAAACAAAAAAGAATTTTAGATGGGGGGAAACTGAAGCCACGTTCCAATTTGGAGGTCCTACCATATCGAAGCCATATATACTACCCACCCCCTCCCCCCAACGTGCCTGCAGAAGCATGGCTCCTCAATAAATATTTGTTGAATGAATGGATTGTTCTTTTAATAACTGATCATCTTGAACAGTGTTAATGTGCTTGAGCACATGCTTTAGGAAAGGTTACTACATACAGTAATGCTTTTATGTTTCATGCAGACCTTGCATCTATCTACGTGAGAGAACATTAGCTGCCATTTCAAAAATTCATTTTTCAAACTTTTCTTGACAAAATGGCAAGGTGAGGGGGAAAAAAAATTCCTAGGAGATTTAGAGTTGATTAAAATGCTAATCTCCAAAATTCTATGTATTTACCATATAAATCAAATAGCATTTGTATTCCAAAAGGGTACATATACTATAATTCCCAGGAGGTCAAACTCATCAATATTAAACATGCTCCTATTGTTGTTGCATATAAAAAGGAAAAAGACAAAAAGGAAACACTCTTGGCACAAACACATGAAATCAGATGTTATGGTATAAACCACTGCTTCCCAAGCAAACCCTTCAAGGCAAACTTTGTCCTTGCCTCTATTATAAAAGTTTGTAACAGTTTACGGTAACAGAGTTTCTTAACATTCTGGGTCCTATATTAATATAAAAATTTCCTTCATTGTAAATCTTGTCACTGTTACTTAGGAAATTAATTTACCCATATTTAAAAAACATTTTTAAACATCATAGATATCTAAAGAAGCTTCAAGAGATTAAAGCAGCATCAATCAATAATGTTATAAGTATTTGAGTTGCAAATTCATCAGTAACCACTTTGAAAATATGGAGTAGCTATCAGACGTGTATTTTAAAGTAAGCCCAAAGGAGGAAAAAGTACTACATATTATATGATGCAATTTAAATGCAACAAGCAAAAAATGTTCCCTTGCATATTGTGAACTACATTTTAAACCTCTTTCCTTAACCATTTTTATCTAAAAAACAAAACAAAAAAACAACAGAGAAAAACAGTCCTATAAATCTTCGATGTAAAAGTATTATGTAGCAATAATTACTAGCATTTTTCAAATTATGTTCTTAAAAAGAGATAATTTAAAATCAGGCAGCCAGTCACTTCAGGTGGTCTTTTTGAGTAAATGGTTTGGAGAAATCAACTTTAATAACTCTAGCAGGGTAACAACCCTGTCTCTCAACAGTTCTGGAGCGCTTAAAAAGCCTTTGTTTCCCCCTCTTTCACAAGACTGCTCTCTTCTAGAATGTAGGATCCTTCTATGAGGGCACAATTCGCCTAAGGCTTTCAGAATTTTCTGCCTCTTTGAACACTGAGGTACTATGGATTTTTATTTTTGCTCTTTCCTTGACAAGATGTCTTTGACTCTGAACTATTTGGGGTTTTCTGTTTGTTTTTTTGTTTGTTTACTATTTACTTCTGTAATATATTTAAGTTCCAGAGATTAAAAAAAAAAAAAAAGGAGAGAAGGCAAGGAGGGAGGACAGGAGAGAGGAAAAGGAGAGTGAAGACTGCTGATGCTTTCACATCCTTTGAATGCGAAATAACAGATGACAATTTGGGAGCAGGTCACAGGCAACAAAGTTCTACTACATGCAAAGGCTAGTTGGAAACTCACAGTGTGGGCATCAAATGTAGGTAGGTACCCTCAAATCCAATTTAATAAATGAATCAGGCTAAGAGATTTGTCCAAGGTCACATAGCAGCAAAGACAATACTTGAACCTATAGATTTAGGTTCCAAATTCTTTATAACAAACAACACTACATAGTTTATTCTTTCACGGACTGGTAAGGGCATCATGAAGGCAAACAGTATTTAGTAATCCCAAAGATGCCTGGGACATGGCCTAAGCTGAACTCCATTTGATCAAGACAGGATATCCTATCTCTAGCTGCAGAAAATGCATTTAATAAATAGAGATCCTACCTTGTGCCTGGCCAAATACTAAATACCAGGGTACAGAAAAGAAATGGCCTCTATATTCAAGACTCCAACCTAGCGTAACTGTTAGTAAAAGTCTTTAGTATTAGCATCCCAAACAGGTCACAAAAAAAAGTATATAAAATTAGTTGCTACCCATTTTCCAATAGAGGCAATTGGATATGGACTTTAAAAATAATATAAGTAGATTGGAAAATTTTAAACAAATGTTGAATGTCAGCTCATAATATGCATATGTGAGTGTAGTTGGGATAAATGTACTGAGCTCTGCAACTTACTCAAAAGGCATCAAAAAATTAAGATGCTTTAATGGATGGATGGATATATGGATAGATAACATAATAAAGCAAGTATATTCAAATTTTAATTGTATAATCTAGGTGATAGATACATGCTATTGCTGTAAAATTTTTTCCACTCTTCTATATGTTTGAAATTTTTCATACTAAAATGTGGTATAAGAAAGTGGGTTGCAAGAATCTGTGAATTTCCCAGTGTCTTTGAAATAAAAATCATATAATGGTTAATAGCACTCAATAAACAGTAAATGAATAAGCAACCTTCCTCTCTTCACTTTTACCTATCTGAGTTATATGTCATTTCTTTTTCTCTCTTCTTTCAGCTCTCCTCCTCCTCCATCATTCTCTCAATTCAGTATCTCTCAATACTGAAATGTTTTGATACGTGTGTTTTTAGTTTTCTCTCTGCTTCATCTTAGTGAAATGTTTGAGAATCTCTAACAAAACGATCAGATTGGATGTTAATATCCAACTCACTCTTTTCTCTGGCAGGTGAATAACCTTCTCTTGAAAGACAACTCTGTCCTGATATCATTTCCTAAGACTTGGCCTCCTCAATCTGCCTCTCAGTCCAGACTTTACTCCTATACTACAGACTCCTGGACCCACTTTCTGGACAACAGTTCCATTGTCATGTCCCCATTCAAACCCACCATATGTGAAATGGGACTCCTCTTGTCTGGCATATTTCATCCTCCATTTTTTTTTTTTTTTTTTTGCTCAGTAATAGCACCACAATCTCTGCAGTTGGCCAAACCCAACTTGTTGCTAACTCCTGCCTTTCCCTCAGTCCACACAATTTACCAATCACAGAGACTTCTCTAGTCTTCCTCCTTATGTCTCTTAAATCCACTCATCTCTTCAATCCCAACTGCCATTTCCCTGGTCTTTCTCCCACTCCCACCTCCAAATCCCATCTGCTCTTTCTTGCTATCATCAATGCTTCTCAACTGAGGAGATGATTTTGCTCCCCAGGGAATATTTGACCCTATCTGGAGACATTTTGGGTTGTCATAATGGATGCTGCTGGTACAAACAATGTTGCTAAACACTATGCATAGGAGAGTACCCTCTCTTCAACCAAGAATGATCCAGCCCAAAATGCCAATAATGCTGTGGTTGAGCACCTGCTTTATCATGAAGCCTCTCACCAGAGCTGAGGGTCAACAAATGTCTAGTGAATGAGTAAAAGAATGGAAATTATTATTATTTTGAAAATTATTTCCCAGTTCATCAAGCCAAATCAGAAACTTGAAAGCAGAATCTAACAAGACAAGTAAGATTTTAACCACTGTGTCTATAGTACCCATATCTTATATGGAGCATTAACTCTTCTCTGAGACATTCATATTCTATAAAATGATGTATCTATATAAATATTCCAATTTTTCACATACTTGCTAACATTATAAAAAGCCTTAATCTTACCAGAAAATTTCAGGACAGAATCCCCAGAGCTCTTTTACAGAAATCATTATGTGGATCACAAACAAGAATTATGTGGCTTTCAATTTTTGCCATACTCTTTCATGTTATCACCAATGCAGTACTTGGAAATTAAGTGCTTACAAAACTGAGAAAAAGTCAAACATTACTTTCCCCAAGAAATACAGAATGTGCTATTTTAGAAGAGTGAAAGTAAAGGAAATGAATTTTAGATCACGTGGGTTTCTCACTGCTACAAGTGGAACATAAACGTCCCTCCTAGATAGCTGGGTACACTTTAGCTTTCAACATAGATTAGCCAAAAAGTTTGGAAGGAAGGAAGGAAAGCATTTATTTTGTTCTTATATCACAAGGAATCGCCTACAAAGCTAAAGAGTCCTGGTATTGAGTCTCTAGTTGTACCCTTTCTAAGTGAAGTTGGCCTTTCTACCTGAAAGGGACCATCCAGGGACTCTTAAGTGAGTAATCAACAACTATTCAGAATTATCTACAGAAAACCCACTGTAAGCCCATAATTTACCTTGTTCAGTAGCAAGAAGCAACAAAAAGCATTCTAAAGACAGAGCCAATAAGAAATTAAGATTGAAACAGCTAATCCTTGGCCTGGAGAGCCCTGCTCTCCAATCAAAATGTAATGCAAGCCTCATTGGTAACATAAATATTCTAGTAGCCATATTTAAAAGGCTAAAAGAAACAACATAATTTGAAGAGTACATTTTATTTAACCCAAAATATCCCAAATATTTCTATAAGAAATCAATAAAAGTTATTAGGGAGATACATAACATTCCTTTTTTCCATACTAAGTCTTTGAGATCCGGTGTGAATTTCACTAACGGCAACACCTCAATTCAGACTAGTCAGATTTCAATTGCATAATAGCCATCTCTGGCAAAAGGTCACTCCTTTTTGACAGTGCAGCCTTAGCCTT